TATATTATACCTCTTATAAAAGTAAATCAATAGTGCCATATGGTAATATATTTTATTTAAAATCCATCCTATTTTCCTTTCTTCACAAGGTAGTTATTATTAAGAGTGAATAGAATGTCTTAGTAATATGAAAAAAAAACAAGAATAACAGACAAAATACCGGGCTACACACTGCACCATTTTGTAGGCTTCATTACACTGGGACCTTGGCATTAAGAAAAACTGAAAGTAAAATCAGGAGGGTCGTCATTTTGTTCAAAACGTATTATCAAAATTATCCAAAAACTAATTTAATACAGTTTACCTAGGATTGTAGACAGAAGTACTCAGTGAGTGTGCTGGATCGCTTTAGTATCAACTTAACACACCTGGGTTGAGGGAGCCTCAACTGGAGAACTGACTCCATTGAACTGCCCTGTGGCCATGTCTATGGGGCATCTTCTTCATTGTTGTATAATATGGGAGGGCCATGCTTACTGACTTGCTTCTGTGGCCCCAGCTCAGCCTGCTTTCTTATGCATGGGCCTGTGTTGCATAAGAAAGCAGGCTGAGCAGGGGCCAAGGGAGCAAGTGCAGAATTCCTCCATGGCCTGTGTTCCAGCTCCTGCTTCCAGGTTCTTGCCTCTGTTCCTACCTTGGACTCCCTGATGAACTGTAACCCAGGAGATGTAAACTGAATAAACCCTTTCCTCCCCAAGTTGGTAGTGGTCAGAGTATTTTGTCACAGCAATGAAGAGACAAACTAGAACAGTGAGCTTTTATATTAAATAATGCAATCTATCTAATCTAGAATAAATAATTATGTCTTAAGTTTGATTTGGAAAATCCAAAGTGTTTTAGAACAATACAGTATTGCTTAACAATCTTGCAAATTTATCAGAATAAACAGAAAAAGCCAAGACATGTGTCCCAGTCCAACTTTTGATTTTTGAATTTTAAAAAACACAAAAACCCCACATAATAAAAACACACACACATAAATATTTCTCATTAATTACTTTATTAATACCGATATCAATGAATAAGAAAACATGCAATACAGATCCTGAAATAGAACAATTAATACACATTTGCCACTGGACTACATACTGCCATTCTAGTCCGTAAAGTATCCAATCTTCTCACATCCAAAGCATGGCCGGAACTTGGGATACTGTTCACTTTCAGATGCTGTATGATATCACAGAGGAGGATTCTTCCCCAAATACAAACATAAACACATATTTCATAAATTTTCAAATATTTTAAGCAGGGACACCATAAATTTCACAAATTTATTCCTAAAAGTATAACATACAATCACTAAACAATTGCCTTCTTTTTTTTTCATTTGTGCACACACATTTTTCTGAGCAGCCTCTCATATTGACTACTGTTGTAAATTTGCAGTACTTTTAACAATCATTGATGGAAAACACATGGATGGTTAGAGTAAGAAAGCTACAGTGGATTTTAAGGTTTCTGCATATGATTCTCTGGTGTAGTAAATGGCACATAATATAAAATGGTTTCTGTCCAATATCGTCAGCTTCTTTTGCTCCCATCTTATCCAGGCCATTTGGGCCACTTGAAAACTGTCAGAATAGTGCCCTATGTTTGTGAGAAAAGATTTATTTAAGTGTAACTAAATATCGGTTTCCCAAAAATAAAAGCGAAACAAGAAATTATGAAAATATAAATCAGGAGTGCAAAAAACAGATTTTCATAGATGTCTATTAGCAGATAAATGCACATTCAGCCTTATTAAAATAAGTTTTTAAATGCTACTGTCGAAACATGCTTGGGGAAAATAACATTGAATTCATTCAGAAAGGAATGCTGTTTTTAATGTGACATGATTGTATTTTAAAGACTGCCCAATTTATGATTTGTTCCATCTGCGTTTGCCCATTTTAATGAAAGCATGTGACAAATAGTTTGAGAAGGCAGAAGCTCTTCATACTGTCACCACTGCACAACAGCACTCATCTTTTGACTATTATTTTCCTAACCAAATTGACATAACTAAAAAGAAAATGTTAAATTACAAAGTGAGACTACACAAAGTGTACTTTGTAAATTGTTTACACCATTGGTATCATATGTAGAAGTTAGTTTTCATAAACTGACACACTATTAGTTAAAACTTGAAGATAAATTTTGAGAAATGAATATGTATGGATTTAGCATATGAGATATAGCGTGTTGTGAATATAGTTACAAAAGTTTATATTAAAGCTATACCTTGAAATTTAATACTTTTTAACTGAATATGGCCACAATATAAACTAGCCAGTCTTACTGAACAGTTTCTCAACACACCAAATCATTGAATTGAAGTGCTCATTTCAAACAAAACCAAATCTTTATTTTTTTGAGGGAAATATTTTTTGACTGATGGCAAACTAAGTCATTTGCAGTTCCTATCAGAAGAGCCACCTTCAAGCTTTGTCTATCTATAGCTCTGTTCATCCATTCAAAGTAAGAATTTGTAATGAGATGAGAATGATCTCATCAAATCTGAAACCATGGAAATTACAGGTTTCCAAGGCCAGACCTAGTGGAAGCTTCTAAAGAGAATGCATAGGGGAGAATAACTGGGCTCACACCCCTTGCCTCTTTGGCTGTGCCAAGCCGGCTTCCATTCAATTTCTCTCTGGCACAAATCCAGGAGAGAGTGCCCAGTCATTTGATTTTCTAAACTCGATCTAATCTGATCATAAAACCAGAGTTAGAAAGGGCAACAAAAGCATATTTGTTCATTCCTATAAGTCTAGGAAAGGTATCAAAACTTCCCAAATTTGAAACGTAAGGATACAAGAGCCTCCCTGATAATTCAGTAAGTCTCACAATCAGAAAAATTTCCCAAATATATGTTTAATTTATAATCCATATTTCTTTTAGCAGAAGTATAAGCATTTAAATTATCAATGTATTTAATAGAATTTCTCCCTCTATTTTTATCTCCTTTGAGCTGTGTGTATGTGAATGTAGATAACTATACTAAAGTTGTGGAAAGGAAAAATGTGTAAAGAATTAAAACAAGAAAAATTTCTCACTCATATAACTTCATTTTTTTTTCTTCAGAGAAAAAAACTCACTCTAAAATCTACTGGAAGCACTGATTTTGTCATTCTGGGTTTCTTTATCTTCCCCAGTTTTAGCATCTGCATTAACAACAACAATAGCAACAACAATATTAACACATATACATGATCTGATTTCAGTAAAATTTCAAACATCATAAATTCTTCAGTTTATAAGCACCTGGAAAACCAGTACATTAAAATCCCTTGAGACACTAACAAACACAAAGGAGCAAAAAAACAACAGTACTAACTAATTTGAAATTTCAGAAATTAAAATCTAAGTGTTAAAAGGTAAGAAGTTATTCTATGCACCAAATCATGTACAATCAAAAGAGTTTCACAAAGGAAACAATATATTCTCGAAACGCTACTTAACCTGCCGGGCACATGAAGAGAAACTTTGTCAACATTCAGTGAAAACCATTACCGATGAAATTATACATTTACCACAGATTATATTACAAAATTTACACACAGTTTAATCATAAATTACATATCTTCAAGTTACACATTACAACGTCTACATCTAATTTAATCAACAAGAAATATTAACCCCCCCACCCCAACATCAATTGATTCTTGGTTTAGCATGATACTGAAACAAGAGAGTTTCTTGCTTTTGTTATATAGAGGAAAATTAAGTTGGTGGTGTTTCTGTAAGTTTATGAAATGTGCACATATCAGTTAAGTAGACAAAAACAGAAATTAAAGAATAGTCAACAAATGGAAACTAGTGTTTCCTAGAGATACTACTGTATTGTTTGCTTAGAATGCAGTTTTCGTGTATTAAGTTTTGTTTCATGTGTGTTATTGGGGTATTTCTCATTCACCCCAAGAAGCAGGAATGAACCTTATTTCTCCCTCTGCACATCTCCTTAAAATTCTGTGCTGTAATACTTTTGTTGTAGTTTATAATTAAGTCTCTTAAAAAGTTCTTTCTTGACTTTCATCTTGTTTTCAGTAGTTTTCTTCAGTAAATTGAGCTAGAATGATAAAAATCCCTTAGTCTTCTGTATTTAATATGGGGTTTTATGTACAATTGTATTTGTTCATTTTACCAATCATCTTTCAGTAATAGCCAATTGAGCTGTCAAGTCAATATTTAAATCATCCTGATCTTCTTTAGAATATAGTACTTTACAGTAAAAGCTGTAAGTTGACAATGCATTGAATGCATCCTACTTTTTTATGATTTTTTATATACAAATTCCAGAAGATAAATACCAAATTTATTCTGGGGTGTAGGCTTAAAATGGCAGTTTTTACACTATTATTTCTGATATACTTTACACTAGACTACAAATATACATTTATAAATGCCCATTCTGGCAAGCAGTTGCCTAATACGGGCACAGCTATTGCACTTCAGTGTCTCGAACTCTACTAAAGAGTAGAGAAATAGGTTTAAACCTAAAGCTGTACAGTAAATATGTTCTTTTTCGAAAAAAAACTCTATATACAAATTATATCAATATATTCTCAAAATAAAGGTAGAAAACATAAAAAACAGGGATAGAGGAAAAACCTGTAAAACATTTGTTTACATTCCCTATTGTATAGTTTTGAAGGTGAAAATGTGAAAAACAAAATACTGGAGACAAGGGAACCAAAACACAAAGACAGAGAAAGATGCCGCAGCACTTAAAACATCTAGTTTTATCGGAATGAAATTTTAGCTAAATTAATGGTAAACCTGGAGAATCAGATCTTTACTAGTTTTCCATTTGCTATGTACTTCATTCACAAAAATCAGAATGGAAAAGATCAGTAATATTGCACATGGTGATAAAAATGAATTCATTATGTACATCAGAAATATTAGACACTACTTTTTAAATTCTGTCATGATAAGCCTTTCTGTACAAAGGGATGCAAATTTTTTAAATTCTTTTTTTTTAAATTCACACTCCAAATTAGAAAATTAATTGCTTTTTTATCTTTTTACTAAGGGTCTAGCTCTGGACTTATCTTGGTATCTGTTTCTATTTACAGAGCTATTTACAAACCTAACAATTTGGAATATTCATTAAAATTGAATTTTAATATTCGAGTATATACATCTGTCTGAAAATGTGAGATATGCATGTTAGTTTTACAAGGGATGTTCTTCCATAATGGGAGAATCACCCCTAGAGGCTCTGGTCTGTTGACCTGAAGTAAAGGTGGTCAAGGGAATGACTTTGATTGAATCATCACTGGTATGAAGTCTTTCAGACCTGGTGTAAAACTGAACTCTTGTACTACTTTGTACTCCCTGATCGAGGGGATGTAGTCCATCACCTCCAGCACCTTGCACCCATCCTTGCTGCAAACCCATTGGTGGTTGGGTCTGGCTGCGATGGAGTGTAGCAGCCTGTGGCAGAGGAGGACTGCGGTGGACAGCCATAGCCTGTGCCACGGGAGGGCTGTAGCAGAGTGCAGAGGCCTGTGCTGGTGGTGGACTGTGGCAAATCGTAGCAGCCTGTGCTAAAGGAGGACTGTGGTGGAGAGCAGAGGACTGCACTGGTGGAGGGCTGTGGCAGAGTGCAATAGCCTGAGTGACTGGGGGGCTGTGGCACAGAGCAATGGTTTGGGTCACTGGAGGGTTGCGGCGACGAACCGATGTCTGGGTCCGGGGTGGGCTGTGGCAAAGAGCAGAGGTCTGTGCCTGTGAAGGCCTGGGATGGGTCAGAGAAGCTGGCATCCAGCAGGCATCGGAGTGGCCCAGGATGAGGCATTCTTGAGTGCAGTTGTCAGAGGCTTCTTCCACAGTTGGCTGCACGGTTATTTCTGCAGCTGTTGGCATAGAGAAAAGAAAACCAAAAATTTTAATATATTTGTTATCTACTTAAATGAAATATCTTTACAAAAAATAGTCCACGACTTGTTTAAATAAATCAGAGATTTCAATTATTTTCACTATTAGTACCTGATTTATCCAGAATTAATTCCTAAAGAAACATATATAGCATGCAGTAAGCAAATGGATGAAATTTATAGTGTATGATGATACTTGTTCTGCAAAAGGCAACATAAAGTAACGAAAAGGAAAGCAACAGACAGTGAAAATATTTCCAAATCACTTTCTTGGCTATTGCGTGTATAGAAGATAGGAAAACCCAAGAGGAAAAAAATTAAAGAACAACATGGGTGGATGGCAAGGGGCAGAACTCCAATCAGCAATTTATATCATCGGTGGATAGATATATGGCTATGATATTATGTGAATGACAAAATTGTAAGGATCAGTTTAATTGTAAACTGATTAATCAGTTGTGTTTTTAGTTACATTTTGATTTTAATACATTATTTCCTCTGATTTTATTTCTTCTCTTCTTCCTACTTTCCTTCTGATAGTTCCTTTGTGTTACAGAAAATCTCTTCAAACATCTAAGGCATCAAGCATTCATTAAGGAGAGAGTCAAAAAGCTCATTCCTTTTCATACGCATGTGGTTCCATATCCAGAAAACTACTGTTAAACTCAATGTCATGAAATTTCCCCGTCAACTTTATTTTAAAGTTTTTACACTTTTAGGTCTTACATAAATGTCTTTGATTCATTCTATCTGGAAAACAGTAAGTGTCTCTCTTCAGTATTTGCATGTGAACCGGCAGTTTTTTAAAATACTAGCAGATGCTCAAATTTTTCTTATTTTAGAGGAATTATTTCTACCTATGCAAGCATCCACAAAGTTAGAACTCTACTATAGAAATAATCCACATTTGAATTCACTCAATTTCTATTTAAGCACTAGCAATATCTAATGATCTCAATAACTTTCAACTGGATGGCAGTAGTTCATAAAGAAGAAAGCAAAGCTTGTAACAAAATCAATTCAAATGCTAATATTTGTACCAAGCATATTAAGAAGTTCAAGAACCTTTGGGAAATAAACAGCAAATGCAATGAAGGTTAATAAATTTAGATATAAAAGTTGATGTACTCTATAGAAGTTTGTGATATATGCAATGTATGTAATAGTTTTTTATAATTTGACCATTTAAAAAATATACTTGTGTGTTTGGGCTGACTGTAGTTGCACCATATGCATGCAATGCCTGCAGAAGCACGAAGAGGGCATCAGATTCCTTGGAACTGGTGTTTGAATGGCTGGTAGTTGTTATGTGGGTGCTACAACTAAACCCTTGTCCTCTGCAAAAGCAGCAAATGCTTTTAACTGCTCAGCCATCTCTCTAGACCCAATTCAGCAGATTATTGTTGTTCTTATTTTGGATAGTATTTGAAATAATCTTTCACATAAAATTCATTTAAATATGTGCTAGTGGTAGGTCATATAATTTTTCAAATATCGTTGTTTTGCTATAAAATGTAGATAATCTATTAGGATGATTAGTTTTAATTGTCTAATTGTTACAATCTAGAATCATCTGACAAGGGAGCCACAATGAGAAATTGTTTGGATTTGGTTGGACTTTGGGCATATCTGTGCCGGAGTTTCTTCATTACATCAACTAACATAAAAAGACACAGTCTAATAGTGAGTGGGTGGCACCATGCTTTGGGTTTGGATTCTGAACTATAAATGCATGAGGAAAGCAAGTTGAGCACTAGCATGTATGTATTAATTCATTGTTCTTTGCTCCTGATTGTGGCTGGAATGTGATTAGCTCTTTCAAGTTCCCACCACCTTGACTCCTCTGCAGTGATAAACCATTAACTTGAAATTAAAGGGAAATAAACTCTTTCTGCCTTAAGTTGCTTCTTTAGGGTATTTTATTCACAGCAACAGGAAATGATACTATGATATCTGTTTTTACGAATGTTTTCTCAAAAAAATTCCTTGGCTCTGTTGTATGATAGTCACAAAAAATTCAATGAAAAAACATTGAAATTTTTTTAAAAAGAGAATGTCTAAAATAATAAAAATGGCAGTTCCTGTTTCAACAATTTCTAAATAGTGTTTATTGTTATATTTAAGCATACTAACAAGTGTGTGATGGTATCTCCCTATTTTAATTTGCAATTTCCAATGACATTTGTTAGTGATTATCTTCTCATGTGCCAGTTTGCTACTAACAGGCATTAATGCCTTTGGAATATTTTAAAGTTAAGTTGTTATTTTTTCATTGTTGAGTTTTAATAGTTTTGTATATTTTGAGTGACAATTATTTTAGACATTCTCTTT